AAAAAAAAAAAAAAAAAAAAAAAAAAAAAAGAAAAAAGATAAACAACCCATACAAAAGATATTTACATACCCGCCGGTTTGTGTTCCATCAATTTTTTGAAAAAGCGCATTTCAGATGCCTGGCACCACTCTACTTGCGTCTTTCCATTTCCGCCATCCATACTGCAAATAAACAATTAAATAATTCTTTTAACTACAGTTTACCATTTAAACGGCTTTCTAAAGCCACGCTTGCCCAATTTTCCAAACAGTAGCTTGATGGTTTAAGGGGAGTTTGAATAAACATTGAAGAAGGGCAACGAAGATCACCACCAACTATTTGCTAACAACAAAATTTTTTCTACTGCTAAACTTTTTGTCTTTGGTTTTTTTTTTTTCACAGGTGCTATATGGTTAAATCCTTGCATCATCTCTATCCGGCCCAGAACAACTAGAAATAGCAGCCTTTTAAAGCAAAAAACCAGCACAAATCAACAAAAACTTAACGGACGACAACGAACAGATAAAGAAAATTAACTGGGAAATAAGTGGAACAAAGGATACCCGCGCATAACAAATTTGAGTGTTGTATTTATGAACCTTAATTAAAAACTCGAGATTTGAAGCTTTTAAAATCTGTTATGCAAAATTATGAACTGATACTTTGAGGAAAACTGCCAACAGGTCCTGAAGGGATTAATTGTGGTATGAACTTCTTTTTAAAATTTTTGGGATCTGATGTCGGTGTTGCATTTTTCTTCCTATAAACTGTTCTGCTTAGTCAACCTGTTTTATCAGTGTTGATAGTGGTGTGCAGATATTTTGATAGCTTTTACTATCCGAACAGATGAATACTACGTGAATGAATATTTTGAGTCATATCTTTGTTTTCTTCAACAGGTAAAAAAGAACAACGGGTTGTTACTAAGAAAGCCACCAACATGTTTTTATTGTTCACATTTGCCATTATTGACCTCAGGTTTATAGTTTTAATCGGACGTTGTTTAGAGAATATCGTTCCGTCATTCTACTAGCTCTTTACACAGTTATACTTTTTATTAAGACTTTGGAAATTTAAGCGTTTTTTTTAATACAAGCCATCAGAAAAGCTTATTTTAGTATGGAGACTTTTTTTTGCCTTTTTTCGAATCATGTTTTAATGTTCCTTGATTTAACTCATTTAGAACTTTATCTCACTCACATTGTCTCTTCACGACTAACATTAAAAATTTAGCCATGAATCCAAGGATATGCGCAGCTTTTTGTATTTTTATTCACTATGTTTTATACTTTTTGTGGCATAGTAAGGCTATGACAGTTTCAACTAATCACGGCTCTACACGTTTTTTTGTGGTTCTTCCTGCTCATCTGTCAGAACTATAGGTTACTTTAACGGCTAGCCTGGTAGCAAGTTATGCTTTTAAGAGGAGTTTTATTGTCTTTACTGAGATAAGGCGAGTGGGAAGGCAATTTTGCTGTCATTTTTATTTCATTGTTCTATATTAATTCTAAATGGTACCCTAATAACATACTAGCAGGTCAGTCAGCAGCGATGGAAACTCTTGGACGGGCTTAAGAACTAAACTCGAACAAAAAAGTTTTGACAGTTCTTCCTGTTCTTGTATTGTATTGTTAATTAGAAGTCCACGTGCAGAGCAGATGTGTAGAAGGAGGATTGTTTTGCAAGGTTTTTTTTATTAGGAAGTGTGGCTAAAAGATGAGGCGGTGCATAAAGAAGTCTCAAAAATTAAAAGAGAAGCTGAATTAAATTATCATTTGAACAGTAGGCGAAGGGGAAACTGTTACTTTGAGGTCACTGTATTTGGCGGACGCGTCATAACAAAGTTCGAGCTACGTTCGGTTTTAAGTATGCCTACTTTAAAAAATAGTTCATTTGGCTGAAATAATCTGTTAAAGTTTACAGGGCAAATTTGTGGTTGGTAACCTCGAGATGGCGAAGTCAAAGAACCATACAAATCATCATCAAAGTTAGTAACATACAGTGCTTTTTACCCTTTTGTTTTGACGATTTTCAGCGTATCATACGTGTGTTTTGTATACTTATAAGAGGTCTGAATCACATGGAAAATTTAACGAGGTTGGTAGATACAGAGAATTCTGGAGCTTGCGAAAACAACGTTATGAGTGAATTTTAGCCGATTTTAGGCTTCCAACCACCTTACAGTTTGTCGTTTTTGTTGTCGCTGGTGGTCCTCTTTATCTCGAACTTTTGCCGAATTTGTAGTTTAAGATCATAATTAGTCGGTGGTAAGTGACTAGAAAAAAAAAATAAAGAGAGAAAAAATATATATGGGCCATTCCACGTCAAA